GCGAAAATAACAACGTGCTATCGTACTTGCCATTGCGTCTCGTACCGATTCGAACTGACCACGGAGTTCGGCGACGGAAGACGGACATAAAGAAAATCAAGGCTGGGCATTAACGAGTTAAAAGTTAAAATTAGGTTAAAACGTTAAGTTAATTAACTCGTTACTTTTTTTTAAGATTAACGTGTTGACTTTCAGTTAATTTTATTTAAAAGTATCTAAATGAAGTTAATTTTAGTGTAAATTATTAAATGAGGTTTTTAGTATATTTATAATTTACTATTTTAATACGAATTTCCTGTAGACGAAAATAATATGAAAAATAACTTTAATAGTCATTATATTATATATCCACAGCAAGAAAATTGACTGTCTTGCTCTACGAAATAATTATTTAGCAAATAACTAGTAAAATCCTTAATTGTGGTTTGTACTTCTTACATATTAGGTACTTTCATATAAAAGGAAACAAGGGCATATAGTAAATTACACAAGTAATCATGTTTTCAAACTAATAATTATACAGGGCAAGTGACAATTTTTTTTTTTTTTTTGCATATTATTATTCATTTTTGTTTTGATTACTCGCATACATAATTATAACTATCAATTAATTTTGTTTTACCAAATTGTGAGTATAATTTTTTTTATATTAATAATTATTTATCAATAATATTTATCATATTGTTTGTGGTAAAAAAAAAAAATATTTTGAATTGAAAATATTCGTAATTAAAATGTTAATTTCTAGTTTCTTTGTGACAAAAAACCAAAATAAATTGAAACACATATTTTATTTCTTGAAACTACGCATAATGCATTCTTGAACAATATTTTGCAATAAATAGCTTATAAAATATAAAATATCTGCATTAGATTAATTCGAACGAAAATGGTTAAATATTTTTATTATAATTACTATCATATTTTTAATTACATTTTCATTGTTGTATACATATATCTTTGTTGTATAATATGCTATTTATGACGTCATATTTTCGAGTATATGATTTATCTAATTAATTACATTAAACATTTGTCACATTATATAAACTTTATAATACCTGTCAAACTTATTAGTACAATGATATATTTATATTGTCATAATTTACGATTATATCTGAGTTGGAAGTTATTTTTTAATCTATAAATCTATATATGTTTTATGAAAATTCACGAGTACATTTTTTTAAATGTACTCGTATTATAAACGTCAGATGAACGTCTTTAAACTTAGCGAATTGACATCTAAATGTCTTTTTCACTTTAAATGTTTTTGATCAAATAAAAAACACAACTTGCATTGCATAAATAATACCATCCCGAATTTCATATTATTTACATCTATCTAATACATTTAATTATTGTTCAGTTTGCGACAAATAATAACAGCAATAATGTGTATAATAATATATATTTTCATTGCAATTATGTATAGTTTTTTTTAAATAAATGTTTAGTCCAACTTTTGAAATAATTTTAATGTAATCATCTACGTGTTTAATTTAGTAAAGCAATGAATTTTTTTTCTATTAAAAAATAATGTGTTGCGCTTTTAAATATAGTTAAATTAATGTAAAAATAGTTAGGTTAAAATTATATAATATAATATAATGATTGTAAGTCAAGTACTGTTTTTGCGTACACAAAATATTAATAAATGAAACACGTACTTAGTCAGCTTATATTTTTTTTATTCTTTCAGTTACGAGTAGTGTCGGCGGTCTAATGGATTAGTACCTATATAATATACTAGAGTTTTGGTGTCAGTATAAATGTTAAAGTCTTTAAGTCTCTATTTAAACGGTTTAGTTTCAGCAAAGACTAATCCCCGGGGTTTCATCTTTCTACTTTCTTTCATATTCATACCTAATTGTAATTAATTTTCTAATTAATATAAATTTTCATTGATAAAATAAGGTCACAACCTGATAATTAATCGTGAAAAACCAGACTTATTTCTACGCTCTTATTTTGATAATAAACTATCGACTCGTATTTTAAAAAGTAGACGGTATCGCCTGAAAAATGTACTGCTAGACAACGTTTTAATTTTAATTTAATTAAAAGCAAAATTTCATTTTTTTTTTTTTTTTTTTTTTTTTATCGAGCCATTTAGAAATTTCTGTTAATTTGATAAAAAATATATATTTATAGTCGAACATGCTTAGAATTAAAACTTAAATCTAAAATCAAAGTTGTAGGAATTTTTTTCATTATTGATTTACGAAATATTGAGAAGTGCAAGTGTTTTGTATCAACAGAATGCACTTAAGCAAAATATGGAATATAATATGCTTTTCTAATATGGTAAAGAATAATCATTTTAATTAGCGATAGCGAATATACTCTTAATTTGTTAACTGAAGTCAGTTAAACATATTATAGTAAATTATAGTATGCGTTGTTATATGCTTATGATAAATTCGTCATTAATATTTTTATAACTATTTAATTCAAAATTAAAATATTACGCTCAATATTTACTGAAACATTCAAACTATTTGTATGTTAACCATAAAGAGTAAATGCTTGTATTACGAAGAAATATTTTTCTTTGTTTATCATGAAATCTTTGTATAACATGAAGTTAAATCGTATTATTTTTTTCATTTATCGCTGATAAAATGCACGCGATTATTATAATTTAATACTTTACGGTTACATGGTAAGTAAATTACACAACCCTAAAACTATACCGGGCTTGAATGGTCAAATCATTTTGAAATATGATGTACTTTTAATTTAAATATGTACTAAATACTATAGTTTAACAAAATTGTTTCTTGGTAAGCATCCATATTTCTATTCGAGACTAAAAAACTCGTACATTAAAATTGCTTAATAACTGGATTATAATACTATTATCCACTGTTTTGCTTGGATATTACAAAATAAATATTGTATAGTTTATTATTTTACCACAAGATTTATGTTCCATTATATTTTTATTTGAAAATTAGGTATGTATGGCCGTATTACGTTTTTCGATAAATTAAAATAGGTAGTAAAATTCAACTAATGGTCAAATGACAATGTCGTTAATTAATTGATTCGGGAATTTGTATACGTACTATTAAATGAAAACTATACGAATTTATATACATTATACGTAATTTAATTCAATGTAAAAACTTTTATCAACTTGAAAATTCTACAGTAATATTATACTATATATTACTTTTATATTTTATTCAAACTAAATGAATGACAGTTTTGAAAGAAAAAAAATGTTTTATAATAATTAAAATTAATAAATGTAAAAAGAAAATCAATAAGCACTTGTTTCATTTTACTAACCATGAATTATAATGTTGAGTTGCATATGATTAAAATAAATTTAAAATTACTGTACTCAAAATTTATTCTTTGATTTACTGTTTTTAGTTTTATTTTTCAAATTTCAAATGATGGTTGAAAAAATAATAAGAAATTATTTTACAGATGTATTGCGAAGAGTACAATATAATTAAATGTTTTAATAAAATAACTTCAAACCATATTATTTCGAGATTAAATACAACTTTTTACGATACAACTATTTACAATACAACTATTTACAATAAGAAGTCAACAGTCGATAATTTTTTTACAAACAGAGAATGTAAAAAATAAAAAAATTTCTCAATTGGAAATAGAATACGAGTAAGGTCTTCAATATTACTCTTACATAAAAATTAATGGACTGACCTAATAATTTAAATAACTACATATGTAGTGTAAAAATTAATGTGATTGAAATGTTTAAATTTTTGTCATTCAAATTTTTTTGACTTAAAATTAAATTTTATAGTAAAATTGTTTTGCATACAAAGGATTCAATTGAAACTTTGCTGTATTTACTATTTTCTAAAAAAAAAATCAACATTTTTTTCAGACCACTTTGTTTGGATCTCTAGTATTTGTCGTATAAGAAAAACAACAATTAAAAAAAAGAAGAAAGAAAATGACAATCAAGTGCGACCCTATTGAAATTAATTATATTTAAAAATATCATAGTTATTTTATTATGTTTAAAATATTAATTTTTTATCTGAAAGAATTGAATAGTTTTGAAAAAAAAAAAATATTAGATTCTTGGAGTAGATTTTTAAATTTTACAATTTTTATGCTGACGAAAAATTGATATTTATTATTATTTACAAGCAATTATTTTTATGTTTACTCCAGCCTCAAAAATATTTATATATTTATGGATATTATTTCTTATTGAATGCAAACAGAATTTAGGTTTTTTTTATGACTAACTGTTATTTTCAGAACGGGAATATTTATTCCTCGTAATATAATTAGCATCAGAAAACACTCAAATATCGTTCACTTAAACGCACTGGCACAAATGTAAAGTGGGATGAGTGCTTGGAGACTAGGACCCCTACATAATTTCTTTTCATCAAGCATGCTGCTTATTGAAATATAAATCTCTAATAAGATAAAAATTAATTATAATACTCAAGTATTTACTACATTCTATTGAAGTAAAATTATATAAAATATAAAAAAATGTTTACTTATCAAATATAATTGGGTACTTGAGCCCCTCGAAAATGAAGGCTACTTGTGACAGTGCATAAACCTATAGATATATGAATAAAAATAAGTAGGTAGGTCAACCAAAATTGTAGTCGAACAATATCTAATTTGTAATATTATGTGTAGTTTTTTCTAATAAAAAACAAAAAACCAAAATACAAACGTCAATACGAAAAACCGTGACCCACTAGTATATAATTATAGGTTTTCACGGACGAAACCGATTTCTACGTTTGAAATCCATAAGGGTTAAAAAATTCGGCGATCCAACAGATCGATAACTGTACTAAGATACGATTGCAGACGCGTAGACAGGAGTTCATGTCTGGGTCATTCTCTTCACAAATCATCGAAACGTTTCTCGGTGATAAATAGACGTAAGTCGGATTGTCAAACTTTTTTAAAAAAAAAAAAAAAAAATTAAATAAAACCTTCGTAGTTTTTCGTGAAATTAAGTGTATTCGATTTACCTGCGCGGGGGATCAAGATTTATGGGCAGGCAAATTTCGGTTGTCGGGGGGAGACAGGGGGACCGCGAACAACCCCTTGACGAACACGTGGCCGTACGTCGATGAGCAAAAATAAAATAAAGCGGGCAGCGGGTGGGCACGGAAAACGTGCGTATGTGTCACTTACCGTTCCGAAGACCGGAAGCCCGGAGCGATGGTGTGTCACGTGCGCGCGGTCGCGAGGAGACGGCACACGAGCGGAGAGAGAGACGCACGACGAACTCGCGCGCGCGACGGACGCGAAATGCCACTCGGCGACAGGACCGGGGGTAGTCGTCCGCGCGCCACCGAGTCACGTCGTGCGAAACGGCGAGGGAAATAAATGTTCCCGTCGACGACAACGTGCGCGCGTATTACCGTTGCCGTGTCGTCATCGCAGCGGTGTCGTCGTCGTCGTCGTCGTCGGTGTGACTACGCGCGTTGTTCGACGACCCGCGCCGAAGTGTACCCGAACGCCGTTCGAACGCGGTTCCCGTCCGCGGCCACCAGTCTTCCGACACTTGCGCGGAAGACGCGCCCCGTCACGAGTGCGGACGAACGACTGTTACCGAGTGCCGACGACGACGGCGACGATAATAACAATTGCCAAATAGCCGGCGGCTGGGCACATGTGTGGGCACATACGGTGGGCCCGGCCGGGAACTTTTTCCCCGGTGCGCGCGCGATGGCGGTGGTTTCGCGTTTTCCGGTACTCCTGTCCTTCCCGTTTTCCGTGCCCGCACCGCCACGTAGCCCGGGCCTTCGTCCTGCGGCGGACGGACTCGAGAACGGTCGACGGAACCGCTTGTCGGATCGTCCGGTTTCGGACGGGAGCTAACGATGTCCGCGGGGACATACGCGGTAACATCGGAGCGCTGTGGACGTCGTCTGCGCACCGCACCGGAGTCGAACCGACGGACGGATGGAAAAGGGCGAATGACGTTTCGGCTTTCGCTCCTGTCTTGGGTTATCCGATCGGTTGTCCTATCGGTTGTAACACGGTACAATATTCGTTACGAGAACAAGCAAATAGTTCATGTCCATGAGTGTTAACCGTTTAATAATTTTTATTTTTATTCTATTAATTTAATACTGTGCACGTCGAAACTAGTGGTTATCAGATTTATTACTCTTCCGACTGGTCGACTGGTCGAGGCTTACCCGCGAACCCATCATTAGGGTTCGGGATTTAAACGTTCCGGAGTAAATTAATTGAACAATATTATACGGTTTGATGTTCGTCAAAAATACCGGATACGGCGTTTTGATTTGTTTTTTTATCACAAACATGTTTATAATAGGATAAATTAAATTGAACTAAATCGGATTTAAGTACAAACGTAAACATATTTTACGTACAACTAAGGTACGTTCTACCGAAAACAATTTATTTAAAATACCCGTATCAAAAATAATATAATTTGCTGATAGAAAATTTACCATAGTCATCACTGAGTGTGGATTTATATTATATCGATAATATTTGTTCTATGCGTCGCGACGGTTGCGAAATTATAAGGATGTAATTGAAAATGTCGTTCATAAATAACGGGACGCAACGTCATAAAGATAATCGCGATAAATCATTTAAACAAAAACAAACATTTTTTATTAGCTTTAAATTCTATAGTATATTTTATCTTTTTCGTATAATGGAAAACTTGTAATAATCGTACAATAAATGCCCTCACAATGCGAGTAAAGTAATGAAAGTTGAAAAATGTACATTCATTCTTAAATTCATTGGCATATTTTACGAGCTTTGTGTTAATATTTTGAATAACACGGAGATGATTAATTTTTTATTAATGTTTTTATCACGTAGTTAGAATGATTCTAAATTAACTTCGTCGGTATTGTTTTTAGAAACGTTTTAAGTTTGAATTACGTCGTAACAGATTGTTTTCATGAATGACACGATGCTTTATTTTTTTAAATTAAAATACAAAACGTAAGAAATTTTCCATTTTTTCTTCTTTTTCTTTTTTTATCTGGAAATTATATAATGTACGCTATAATTTGTTTTTCGTTTCAACTAGTTCAATATTCTTTAGACCAGTGGTTCCCAAATTTTTTTTCCCGCGGTGCCTATTTTTGGACCCAATTTAGCCACGGTGCCCTGTTGTAAATAACATGAAAGATAAAACAAAAATAAATACTCATTGGTAATCAATTTTACTAATTTTATTAAAATTTAACTTAATTATAAATTAATGCTTTTTTAAACTTAAAAAATAAATAAACAAGCATTTTTGTTATTATGATAATAATTATTGCATATAAATATTATAAGGCTAAAATGAGAATATACAATAGAAAATATTACATTATTTGCTATAAAGTTTTTACGAAAACAATAAAGAAAAAAAATCTGTACATCTATACCCTTAAAAAGTGCACAGTTTGGGAACTACTGCTTTAGGCCATATGAGGTCACCATTGAATTATGTATCGCCTTTCTTCCGACAAAAATGACATTTGATAGTATATATTTTTTTATCAACATGATTAAAATCTTATTTTTTGATTTAATATTTATATTTATTTTAAAATAATAATATAAAGTTCATTAATTACAACATTTCGTCAAATTTTTCTTGTTAGAGCATGGATGATTAATAATAATCCGCATTGTTGATAAATGTTCGAAATCTTTTACTCAAGTTATTTCTGATACATTATACAAAATACACTAACTAAACTAGTACTTCTAAAAATGAGAACAGAACTTTTAACTAAAAAAAAAAAAAAATCATTAGATACTTCATATTAATACAATATTCAATTATGTTCAATACAATATAAATACGTTATTACTTCATAAATAATAAAACTAAACTATAATTATTCACTAAATATTGACTAACCAATGATGCATACACATCATCATCGATACAAGGTCAATATTATCTATAATATAGCCACTAGAAATCATTTAAATTTAAATATTATCAAAAATATCTATAAACATATAAAATAAATAATGAAACACAACTCACCAAATAGTATTGTTAACAATGTAGTATGAAATGTTAAAACAATAGAACTATAAATTTCACGGAATCTTCCATTCTTTTGAAAATGTTGGTGTATATAAATTTAAATGTAATTGAAATACATTTTAAATAAGTAAGACAAATAGAAATTATAAAATAAGATGGAAACAACACGTTTCCGAAATAAAATTAAAATAGAGTGCCCCTGTTCAAACTTCGCTAAACACGTTTTAAAAAATAACCATAATGTACATTTTGATATCATTACAGACTGGGAAATATTAAGCATTGTAATGATTTAAAATGTCTAGGCTTTTAGTTATTGTGGGAAATATTTATATGTCTTTTTACAACATTACTTATTATATTATAAATATTTAATATTACTTCTTCGTTGATTGTGTCGACCTGCCCGTTGAAAACCGTGGTTGACGTTTGATGAATAAGATGAGGTAACCAATTCGTACTTTAAAATATTAATAACTTATTATTTTACTCACTTTTAATAATTTTATTTAAACTTCTTTTTACACATATTAATACACGTATTTTAAATTTTTACAGAACGTTTTACAATTGATTATATCCCTGCATAGATGATCAGCGTAGTCTTTTACACTCGCCTTTGACCGTCTATACAAAATAACAACAAGGATACGTCTCTTTTGTGACTAAAAACTATGTTCTTTATATATAATGTGTGTGTGTGTGTGCGCGTGTATGTGTGTACGTGTGTGTGTAATATCTTATCTTTAATACTTACGACTTATTCTTATACTTAATGGCTATCGATTATTATAATTATTTTATTATACATTACATTTTAAAAATATATGATTGCTTAGACGCATATCATTACAACACCGAAAGTAATTTTTACTTATTTTTATTAATTCAGTTTCAAAAGATTTAACCATACAGAATCTTAAATGTATAAACCGATTTTAAAATAATAAAATTTATTATGATAAAAAATAATTACCGAAAAAAAATATGAACTTACTAACAAAATTATTTCTAATAATAACTCATGGATAACATCTTCTTCTTTCTTAGCTTAACGGTCTCTGTAGGACCTGAGCTGCCAAAAGCAATTATCTCTATTTTTCTCTGTTATGGATAACATCTACTATTAAAATTAATTATCTCTATGTAAAACGACCAATTTTTCTCAATGTTTTCCTTCTTCTATTTTTTCATAATTAGTCGCGATTATGTGACATTGTGATTGACCTAGCAATGAATTTTTAATAAATAATAATAAATTATTATAATATAAAAATAACCAATAATGTCGTTGAATTGCCTATTTGGTACGCCGTCTAATAACATTAATATTTCATTAGTATTTCATTTATTTATATTTAATTATTTATATTTATTTTTATTTATTATATTCATTTTACATTAGTATTTCAATTATATAATATAAAATGTGTACAATGCAATTATAAAACATAAAATGCATATTTGGAAGCGTACAGTAGCATTTCGTATGTTTGATAAATTGTGGTCTTGTCTGTAAATATGAGGTTTTTGAGAATGTGTTCCTGTTCAAACGTCAGACGGACCGAAAGCTTTTCTGTACTTACGGTTTTACGTGATCCTCCGTTTATTTCTTGAACTATATTAAGTAATATTTTATTACTAATTAATAAATGTTCATCTCGGAGTGTAAACCTCGCTCCAGGTGAGGATTGCGTTGATGAATCGTATGCACTCTTCATATTAGTTAACATAAATATATATACATATAAATATTACAGGTAGACACGAAGTGTGTTCTAGATTCATAACTATACCGAATATAAAATTCTGTAATGTTACAATTGGTATTTCAATATATTTATTATTTTTTTATGAATGTTATTTTTTATCTTAACCGAAAATTGCTGCTTTCATCAAATATGTGTCGAATTTACATAAATAAATAGTTTATATGTAAAAAAATAAAAAAATGAAAGCGTGGCCTTAAGTGTTAATTTATCTGAAATTTACATGTAAAAATATTAAAACCAACAATATTATTAACAACAAAATACACGGTCCATATATAAAACGTAAATACGTAAATACTGGTATCCTACCGCATTCCGAATTAATTTTTTTCATAAGTCCAAAATAAATTTTACTCTAAGAATTGTACATAATGATTCATGGACCGCAAATTTTGGTTGAATACCTACTTTGATGATAAGTATGTCGTAATTGTTATTCTAGCTTAGCATAATCTAATCAGATCATTGTTTGAGCAAAACATTTAATTTTAATCATTTGTATTCGGAGTATTTATCAATACACATATTAAACTTACGGTTAGGTTTCGGTCAGCGTTAGTTCATTTTACAATCTTCTTGAACTTCTAAACGACAACCCCACATTTGGTATAAGATAAATCACTCGTAGGTACTCGTAAATAAAGATTTTTTAGTTACTTACAACTTCATATATCAATGTAATACTCAGATCTTTGATAAAATTCGTTTTTAGAACTATACTTTGATTCGTGTGAAAAATAACACACGACCGTAAAACGTGATATGTGTCTTTGTGACTCGCACAAAGTTTAAGTTCTAAGTTTTCTTTTCGAGAAGGTAGCTCTTCCAACTGTCCCCATA